GAAGGGGCAGGAATGATGCCCGAGGCTTGCTGCTCTTAGCCCTCCAGGAATTACTAAATGGATTGGATCCGAACAGGAGGTCACGTTCTGCATGTGGAATGGAGCCAGTGCCCAGATCCACACCCTGGCTTCCCACCCACACCACCCAATTCTGCCCAGCTCTGCTGTTCCTCAGAGCTTTCTTCTTCCCGGGGCTAGTTGTCAGGTAAGACTGAAGTTGTAGCAACTGAGGTTACCTCCCAGTGTGAAGCGCTCCGTGTTCAGCTCTCCTGCACTAAGCCATCTTGCCACTCACCCGAGCTCCCAGCTTGCTGCAGACACAGGACTTGGCGTCCCAGGGAGGGCTCCCCTGGCTGCCGTGGGTCTTCCTAAGATGGATCCAATGTGTCTTTTTTTTTTTTTTTAGGATTTATTTATTTATTTGAGAGGGAGAAAGAAAATCGCAAGCAGACTCCCTGCTGAGCGGAGAGCCCACCACGGGACTCCATCCCATGTCCCTCAGATCATGACCTGAGCTGAAATCGGGAGTCAGATGCTGAACTGACTGAGCCGGCCGGGCGCCCGCAGGTGGAACGATGTGCATTAAGACCTCAGCAGCGCTGTGACTGCTGGGAGTGCCCAGGAGGAGCAAGCCGAGCATTGCAGCTGTACAAAACCTTTGAGAACTATGGCTATACACAGGAAGAAAACCATCTGTTTTCTTCCTTTTTTTAGATTTTGATTTATTTGAAAGAGAGAGCACCCATGCAATTGGGGGAAGGGCAGAGGGAGAGGGAGAGACAGAATCCCAAGCAGACTTCCCACTGAGCGCAGAGCCTGACATGGGACTCGATCCCACGACCGAAATCATGACCTGAGCCGAAGGTAGACGCTTAACCGACTGAGCTCCCGGGCACCCTGACCCTTTGTGTCTATTAAGTAGAAAAGGTAAGACTGAGGTTGTGGCCGGTGCGGTTGGTTACCACCCAACAGCAACACTCACTGCTGGAAGCTCAGATCTTGGGTCACTGAGGTGCCCAGCGGGGCTGAGTTGTGGCCATTGCTTTCCTCTTTGTCCACAATTGGTTTAGGATAGGCAAACAGCCCAGGTCTGGCCAAAGAGATGTCAAAGAAAATTTGCTGGGGGGTATTCTGCAAAAGGGTTTCCTCTCTGATGAACAGGAAGCTTGCAAGGAAAGCTCTGCCACTTCTTTCCCGAGTTGGAAGTCATTGAGTGATGACACAGTTCTGGAACTCCTGAGCGATGACATCATCACGTGACCCTGGGCTGGGAGGGGGTGGTGAGGAAGGGGGAAAGAGGATGTAGGGATACCAATTCAGACCTGTCATTGTTGAGTTACTGAACCAATCATCTACTTCAGATGACTTGTTACATGAGAAAAAAAAATAGTCTCAAAGAAGTCAGGATAATGGGCATCCGGTGGCTTGCAGCTGAAAGCTCCTGACAGAGAAGCAAGCTTGAAACCCTGCTGCAGCGAAAACCAGGAGAGGTCACTGAGACTTTCACCCTGTCCAGGCAAGGCACCTGTCTAACCCGACCCGGACATAGGTGCACCTGAGCTCTCTAAGCCAGGAAATTCACGAGCCTCCTGCCTCTTCCTCCAGCACTTCCCCCTCCTCATCACTCCAGGACAACCTCACTGCCTTGCAGTGGGAGGGCCTTGGGGACGGAACCTCCCAGCAAACAGGGCTGGCCCGTCACTGCAAGTCTCTCCCTTTGGTGTGGGATGGTGGTCAAGAGAGGGAGCTCTGGAGTCCTGCTGTATATCCTAGGCTAGGTACTTACCCTCCATGCCTCCTGCGGGTAACAGTGCCTCGTTCACAAGGTGATTGTGGATGAAATGTCAAGTGCCTCTGACATGGTGTCATGGGTCCCCAAGACCACCTCAAGTTCAATGATTGACTAGAACTCTTCGCAGAGTAAAAAGAGCTGTTATACACATGATTACAGTTTATTACAACTGCTGGATTCAGGGTCCCCTCCAACAGTTAAGAGAAGGGTTAAGATGAACAAATTCTCTGGGCCGGCACTAGCCACGAAAGATAGATTCTAGCAGGAAGCTGGTTTCAGTCCCAGGGAAGAAACAAAAACGAGCGTGGGGGCGGTTCGTGTGCCCTGCAGTAAAGGGTGGCTCAGCAGCTGTGGGATGCTCCAATCTTGCCCGTTCAAAGAAAGGTCTGGCCCCCCTGACGGGCTCCTGGGAGATAACCTCTAAGCCCTTGCAATCTGCTGTCTGATAAGACTGTCTTTGTTTACTTGGGGCCTTGGGCCACACGGGATAGTTAATGCTAACAATGTGATTCACTCTGTGTCAGCTTGACCTGGGGAGGGACTAGAGACTGAGTGAGCAAGGTCAGCCACGGGGTGCTCCAGGCCAGGTGATGAACCACCAGTAAACACCCTGGACACCAAGACGCGGGTGAGTCCCCATGGCTGACAGTACGCCATACGCGTTGTCACACCTTGCTGCTGGGAAAATCAAGCATGGTCCCCACAGCTCTGTTGGGAGGGGACAACTGGAAGCTTATACCTGGTCTCTCCTGGACTCCACCCTGTGCTTCTTTTACCTTTCTTTGCAGAACTCCCATGAACACCATCGATCCTGAACAGCCATATTAACACACTGAACCTGCAGTTGATGCAAAGCCTTTTCCACGTGAATTCGCATTAGAGCCAATTTTCTTGTACAAAGCAGCTGATTTTTTTTTTTTTAAGTGAGCGCTACACCCAGTGTGGGGCTTGAACTCACGACCCTGAGATCAAGAGCCCCATGCTCGAAAAATGAGGTGGGGGGATTGGAGGGAGAGATGAACCATGAGAGACTATGGACTCTGAGAAACAAACTGAGGGTTTTAGAGGGGAGGGGGGTGGGGAGATGGGTTAGCCCAGTGATGGGTATTAAGGAGGGCACATACTCCATGGAGCACTGGGTGTTATACGAAAACAATGGATCGTGGATCACCACGTCAAAAACTAATGATGTATTGTATGGTGACTAACATAACATAATAAAATTAAAAAATAAAAAAAAAAAAAAAGTAAAAAAAGAAAAAAAAAAAAAAAAAAGAGTCCCATGCTCTACTGACCGAGCCAGCCAGGGGCCCCAGCATTTGATTTTTTAAACCTCTTCTTCTATTTGGCCAATCAAGTTCTTCTCAGATACATTTGTACACACAAACACACACACACACACACACACACAAGCATCCCCCACAAAGCCTAAAGGTATAGGAATCTCCCCCACAAAACAGTCCTTTCTTCCAGAGCTCACCTCAGCAATATCAGGATGCTCATCTCATCTACTCAAGGAGTGCTTAGCAGATATTCATAAAGTTCCCAAAATACTCTATATTGGTTAAAACAAGCAAGGCCTCTAAAGTTAGACATTCCTAGGCTCAAATCTCAGCCCTACCACTTACCAGCTGTGTGACCTTGGGCCACTTTGCCTCTCTGAGCTATGGTTTCCTGAGTCTGCCAGTGAAGGTTATGGCCATACCCGCCTTCGAGGGGCTGAGCCTGGGGCCTGGAAAGCAGCACATTCTTGACAACTGTAAGCGAGCCGCAGGAGTGGTGCTCGCTCTTGTCTCTATTACTAGTCCTTCAGCTACACCTTCCAAGGTAGAAACAGTCTGAAGCTAAAATAGGGGTGCGGCCCTCCAGGGTGGACGGTGATGGATGGATATAGCAATCAGCAGTAGGTCACGGGATCCTTTTGTGAAGGTCAGCATGGGGGTTCCAGTTGCTCGAATCTTGTTGGGAGAGATTCTATGAAACAGGAGGGCAGACGGGGCTGAAGGAGAATGTCAGAGGATCTGGCATGGGCTATGAGACCCAGACTGGGAGGACAGAGGCCTGGCTCGGCTCAGGTGCAGGCTCTGGCCCCCAGGCACATCGCTTCTGCTGTTTAGGGGAGAATCCCTGTTGCACGGCAGCATTTGGGGCGGGGGCGGGGGGAACCAGAGAGGGGATATGCGACTCGATGAAACAGAGTCTCATAGAAAATAAAAAGCACAGTGACAGTGAAGGAAGCCCCGAGTCACCTCTGTGACGGTCTCAACCCTCCAGAAGAGCAGGTCACCATGAAGAGCCTGATGTGGTTCCACAGGGGCAGCAGGATGATGAGCAGAGGGGACCGGACTTGAGCTGCAGTCAGCCGCCCCCTGTGCACAATGGGGAAGCAACGCTTGCTCCCAGAGGTGCCTGGAGCAGCAGGTGGGATGGTGTGTATACACAGCCCGATAAACGTCTGGGCACCGTAACCGTTCCTGCTCCGTGGGTCAGACGTGAAAACCAGCCGCACTGCTCTATAACCCACCTCACAGGGGCCACGGCTCAGTGCGTCTGCGCACTAAGCTCTTAGGACCCCCACCCATCCGAGCCCTAATGAGCTCAGTCTCTGATCTCTTTGGCCAGACTGCGGACTAAGTGCAGAGGAAGTTCAGGTGCTCCAAAGTCAACAAAGACAAGTGAGATATGACGACAGTCTAACAAGGAAAGCAGGCGGAAAAGCTCACTGGGCCGGGGACTTGAACTACAAAGGTACAGTACTCAGAGGCCACTCGGGGCTCGGGCGAACGATCGACCCCTCTCAGTGGACCATGCATCGAATCACGACCAGGAGAGCCTCGAGTCATCAAAAGAAAGGTAAATCTGTTCAACACATCAATTTAAGAAGATTTAAAAAAAACACCATGTTATACATTTGAGCAATATCACCATTACAAACAGGAAAACAGTTAACGGTGAAAGTTACAGGTGTCTGAAAGACGGAGGATTGGGGCGCCTCCTTCTGTGGTGATGCTGGGCAAACGGAGCTTCACCCAAAGAACGTACTGGGGCCTTTTCACCTCTCAGCAAGGTGTTATTGAGGTAGAAGGAAAGCAGTGGACATGGGGAAGGGGGAGCAAATGGACAGGGACTTAGGGTTGGTCCTTCCATTTAAAAAAACCGTCTTCTACTCGCTGCTCGGCCGGAAGCTGGGCTTGCACTGGAGGAGGCCTCAGTTTGCCTGGATCTTCCTGGGGGCGCCTAGCGCATCCCGGCCCGAGCCCAGCAGCATGCGCTCCAGCCGCTTGCAGTGCTCCCGGAGCTGCTTCTCGCGGGGCAGCAGGAAGGTGAGGACCTTATTGCGCACAATGCCCCGGTCCTCCTCCTCCCTCAGCCGCTGCTTCACGCGGGCCGCCTGCTCCCCCTGCTGCACCAGCTCCCCGTTCATCTCGCAGAAGGCGTCCTCCAGGTAGTGGATGGCCTTCAGCACCTCCTTCTTAAAGTCCTCCAGCTCCCGTTGTACCCCGGCCACCTTCTGCTGCAGGCTCTCCAGGTCAGCCGGCGGCAGGAGGCAGGAAGGCCAGGACTGAGGGAGGGAAAAGTCTCCAGACTGGAGGCCGCTCTCCACCATCTTCTTCCCTTGTAAGGTGTTCACCTTCATGAGGATGGACCCAGCGTGGTAAAGCGGTTCCATCGTTTCTCTTCCCCGTTTGGACAAAGAGAGGGAGCTAAGAGACCCGTCTGGTCCGTGAATTTATTTATTTATTTAATTTATTTATTTTGCAGGGTGGGGCTAGAGACACAATCCTTTGGAGTGGAGAAACCCCACACATTGTGACATCGGGGCCCCTTCAGCCAACCAGGAGGAAAGCCACAATCCATTCATTTGCATATTGTAGCCTCCCAGGTTGGTTATCCAGGGCTCTGTCTGCTCATCTACCCAAATTGTCTTCCCGTTATATGGATTTTCATCGACTCATCCCCCGCCCAGAACCAGAGCACAGTCTCTCCTTTTACAGGAGGGACAAACCGAGGCCCAGAGCGGGGCAGTAAACAGGCCAGCGCACGGCAGGCCGGGCCAGTGAGCCAGGAGTGGGTGCTCTCCCATACCCGGTCTCTGGGCCTCGGCTCCTCACAGGGAAACTGGCTCCTTGGCCGCCTCGGACGTCCTAAGATCTGCACAGCCTTTCCTTGAAACCTCTCCTGAAGCACTAACTGCCTTCACCCTGTTTTCCTGACCTAGGACCTTGTCCTTCCAGATCCCCGTGACACAAGAAATTCCATGGGGACATTTTAAGAGATGATGCCTAAGCTCACTTCTAGCTCTAAAAATGCTAAAAAGAAAAAGAAAGTAATTTCTGATTCCAAATCCATACTTTTTTTTTTTAAGATTTTATTGATTTATTTATTTGTGAGAGAGAGATTGTGAGAGCACAAGCAGGGGGAGTGGAAGGCAGAGAGAGAAGCAGGCCCCCCGCCAAGCAGGGAGCCCGATGTGGGGCTCGATCCCAGGACCCTGCGATCATGACTTGAGCTGAAGGCAGACGCTTAACCGACTGAGCCCCCACCCCGGACATCCCCCAAATCCACACTCTTATAACAATGCCAGCATTCTAGATAATCTTAGAAGTTATGAGGCATGTACTTAGGTTTTGATGTGTGGTCCACGGCAGTGCTGAGGGTGAAATCCTGTCACTCATTTATTCAGCAAGTACTGAGTGCTCACTCTGCACCTTGACCAGAGAGCAGGTGTGAGCAAGAGGGCCTGGTGCCCACTCCTACCCTGCCAGGTCATGCCTGAATGTCGACACAGATGAGAAAAAACATACGGAAGGGTGAACCTCTCACTTTTTACCTGAATACTCTAAGAAAGGAAAATGTTTCTAGCTAGGTTATGTCAGTTTAGTCCAGAACAGACCTCTATCCTGCCTATCTCAATGTCCTGAGCCGACTTCTCTCCTGGCCTCCAAGTGTGAGCATCTCCCACACCGTGCCTCAAATCCAATCTATCCAAAGCTGGACTAGTTATCATTTTGCCCAAACTGCTTCTTGTTCCAATAGTGACATCAAGCTAATGACGCCAGCATGGGGTAGCACCCACATGAGAAACCAGGGATCAGCCTAGACCCCTCTGCATCCAAGTGGCTCTGGGTTCTCTTGACTTTGCCCTAAGCTGAGCACCGCAGGACCAAACCACCTGGGCCGGGTCTCAGCTCCACCACCTATAAGCTGTGTCTCTTTGGCAGATGACCTCACCTCCTCCATAAAGCAGGGATGCTAATTCAGTGGTGTGCAGTCCCTGGACAGTGGGGGGACAAGGGGAAGGCTCTGATTTATAGCTGTTGCCGATTTCCATGGTGTGAATACTCCCACCATGGCTGTTTTTGAGCTACCCACATGACGTCTCTGGGTAGAGGTGCACACAGTCAGCTCTCCTGAGCGGTGCGAGCTGACCCCAGCCTCACAGGACGCTTGATGAGGACAGCTGCTGTCCCTGGATGAGCACTGACCTAGTGGAGTGCCCTGCAGGAGGCATCAAAGAAGGCATTTTGTAGGGAGGTAATGGCTAAACTAAGGCAGAATTTTGAATCTCAGGATGGGGCAGCAGCTCCAATTATTGAGACAGAATGTTTGGCGAAAAGAGCACAGTTGTAGGAGTCAGGAGATCGGGAGTCTGGAATTGCCATAGGACCACGGGTCAGTCACCTAGCTCCCTTCTCTGTTCCCTGTGGTACAATGTGAGCAGGTGGGAGATAGCTTGTCTGCAGTCTCTAGTTCTAAGATCCACGCAGCTCTTCCTTTGAACCATTTCTGAGGCACGTACCGCCTTCCCCCTTTTTTTGTGACCTGGGATCTTGTCCTTCCAATCCCCTATGGCACAGTAAATTCCATGAGGACAAGGAGCGTGCATTTCTCATCCTATGTACCCACGAGTGTCCTGCCTGGTGCCCTGCACATAATGGCTCTCAGAAAACTAGATGAAATGGAATTTATGTTCATAGGTGGCTATCAACGCCAACGACTCCCCTAGCTTTCCCTCTGACATGGCGCCACCTACTGGCCTGAGCGGGAACAGCATGCCTTTTATCCTCCTGCCTAAAATCCAGCGGGTGGGGGGGGTGCCTGGGGGAGATGGTGTAAACAGGCTTCCGTCTCGTGGTGTACTCATTAGGGGTGTGTGTGCAGGCCCGGCACATAGCAGGTTCTTGATGAGTATTTTTTTTTTTTTTAACGAGTGAAAGAAAGAACTTGTGTCTGTCTTCTGGTTTCTGTCATTTTTTAGTGTCTTTCCTGTTTGTGCCTCTTTCTCTCTCTCTCTCTGATTTGGATTCTCTGCCTCTTTATCTCCGTCCCCCACAGGGAATGGTGGAAGTCATAACCAGAACTATGAAAGAAAAGTAGCAAAAGTTAAGAAAGAATGGCAATCTCTAATCTCCCTGGTGCTTTTTAAGGAGCTTTCAGTTCATTGCTCCTCGGAACCAGCCTGGGAGGACCGCTTCCACACGAGCCTCAGCAGAGGTTGAGGGAGAACGAGCATTCTGCCCACAGGAGACCCCAGGCTCGGTGGCCTCCCGAACCTTCGGAGAGTCCTCAGCAGGGACGACCCGATGTGCACACGCTCTGAATGCTCTCCCCCCGAAAGTCTATCACCCAGGGCTGTGCTTTCCTCACAAATTTCCTTCCAGTCCCAGGAAAGGAAGGAGGCAGATCGATTTGGCTCCTTCAGGATGGCAAGGGCAAGGGCAAGGGCTTCTAGCATCTCTGGCAAGGCATTTCCGGGCCACTGTCAAGAGGGTTTCCCTGCCCCTGGCCTGTTTCTGCAGCTCACAGGCTCCCCACATCTCCAAAAACTGGGGAGTTGGGGGTAAGGGTATCAACCCCGCAGAGATCCAGACCCCACCCCCTGAGAATCAACCTGAATGGGTAGGGCCTCAGGAGTGGGCATGTTTTAGGAGTTCCAGGATTGGGCACCCCTGGATCGGAGCACATTCCTGCTGGGCCCTGCCCACCCCTAGAGAATGGAAACCACCTTCCCCAGCTTCTGCCATGTGTGCCCTCCCATGCTTCTGCCTCTGTGTGTGAAATAAACCTTGATCCTTTTGAGGATCAAGAAAAGGGACACGACACAGGTGCACTCCTTCACATATGTCTCTTTCTTTCTTTCTTTTTAGCAAAAGAAAGAGAGAGAGCACAAGCAGTGGGGAATGATAGAGGGAGAAGCAGGCTCCCCACTGAGCAGGGAACCTGACGCGGGCTCAATCCCAGGACCCTGGGATCATGACCTGAGCAGAAGGCAAACACTTAACCAACTGAGCCACCCAGGTCCCTTCATATGTATTTATTTATTTATTTATTTTTTAATTTATTTACTTTAGAGTAAGAGAGAGAGTACAAGCATGAGGGGCAGAGGGAGAAGGAGAGAGTCTCAAGCAGACTCTGCACCGAGCACAGAGCCCAGCGTGGGGCTTGATCTCATGAGCCTGAGATCACACCCTGAGCCGAAACCAAGAGTTGAATGCTTAACCAACTGCACCACCCAGATGCTCCTCATGTATGTCTTTAAAAGTGAGGGATGGGGCGCCTGGGTGGCTCAGATGGTTAAGCATCTGCCTTCGGCTCAGTTCGTGATCCCAGTGTCCTGGGATCGAGCCCCGCATCAGGCTCCTGGCTCAGCAGGGAGCCTGCTTCTCCCTCTCCCTCTGCCTCTGCC